CGGGATTCCTGATCCAACTATGGGCTACGACACACACACACCGCCCCTCCCCAATCTGCCAGATTGCAGCTGTGATTGATTTGTAGCCGGGGTGTTAATTAAACGTCGGCTTCCATAATGAAACACGCAAAGCCAATAAAAAAGCAGTATACACACACCGCAAAGGTCTTTCACTAAGTAAACCCACCTCAGCAAAGCTTAGTGGACCAGTGGAGGAACCGCTGCCGCCACCGCAACCGTCGGTTTGCCAGTACCACCATTCCTTCTGAGTGACACCACCGCCCTCCTGGGAGTCGGGATCGTCACCACCCATGAGAATGTTGGTTTCCGTCGGCGGAGGAGCCCGACTGGTGTGGAGATGGGCCAGGCCAGCCAGATCACTGACGACACGAACGCCATCGGCCTCCAAGAATTCATCAGCATTGTACTGTGAGAGTTGGGGTGGCAGTGTAGAAAAAATAATGGGTTTAAGGCAAATGGGAATCAGGAAGTTGACTTTTAAGGTAAAATTCCTTTGCGGTAACAATTTATAATGCGGATTAGAACACCTTTGTTTACTTTGCATATATGGCTACTTATTTTGTAGTAGTAAGAATTATTTGTTTCACTAATTTGGAGTCGGCTGCGTCGCCCACCACAAATGCTTGACATAGTCCATCCACATATTACACTGCGTTTCCCAAGAAAATCTTAAGTGACTTGCGGCTGGTTTTTAAAAGCTAGGATGTGTTACCCGAGGGAAGATGCAAGTTGACTTTTTACACAAAATTATTTTACAAGTAAAAGAAATAGCAGTGACGGCAACTCTTTCTGAATTAGCAATTGCTGCTGCTGCTGCAGTTCTGACGGTACAGATGGACAGGGTTCTGACACGGTATATGTCCTCAGTTTCGAAAGGACCCTAAACTGGTGCATTAATTTCCTGGGAAATTAAACAAGGCAACACGGGAAGTGGAGTTTATGCACAAGGAAAAATACGTGGAGCGCTGGGGGGGGACCATTCATGAGCAAAACTCTTTGGTTAGTAGTTCTTATGAAAGTAGCTGTATGGGCCATTTCCAATTTGCCTTGGAACCCTCGAGCCCCGCCACGACCCGCCCAACGTCACCAATTACTACCACGTTAAACCAGTAACAGAAGGACACAAGTTTGGAGCCCACAAAAAATCACGGATTTAGGCCTCAGGCGGGGCAGAAGGTAGTGTTGAGTATGCTGGCTGATGACAGCAAATAAGCCAGAAGTGTGCATTCGAATATCTCCTTCCTTTCTAGGCAATGGGGTTCTTTCTCTACTGTAGCAAATGGAAACTTGTGCAGCATCTACGTCGCTCTTTCTTCTCTCACTCGCTGGTCCCAAGGGCGTGGTGTTACTCATACTAGAGTGTTACTGAGGTCTAAGCGAAGTTGAAGATACGGCGCAGAGGTCGTAAATTCTGCGCTCCAAGACAAAAACACACTCACTTTGTTCAGCACCAATTTCTCCAACAACATTAGCAGACAGTCCCGCTCAGCAGCAGACACGGTCCGGTCGAGTAGGTGAACCAACAGGGGAATGTCGGAAACGGGGCCAATTTCGGAGTGGCACCGGCCATAAACAATTGCCATGGCGTGCAAACAGAGACAGCGCATATTCAGCCGGTGGTTTCGCTTCTCTTGGCGTCGAGAGTTCATGCGGAAGAATTTGGCTGCTGCGGGGTTATTTTTGGCATTCCTAGAGAGAACAGCCGAGCCTGCGGCCGCGTACTGCAGGTACCGACGGAACAGCTCGCTGAAGAATTCACGGCTGAGGAGAAAAGCGGACAGATTCAGAAATTAGGAGAGCAAAATGATAGCTTACTAACAGAAAACATGGTCACAGAACTGAAAATGCAATAAGGGAAAAAACGCACTTCTAACGATTATTGTGCCATGTTCAAGTATGACGGAAGAGGCACAATCTGGCATGAATAGTTAAGAGATCAGAACAAGAAAAAGGCGTCGAAAAATATACAGAAGTAAAATACGCTAAAACATACAAAATTAACTAAAATAAAAACTAAATTAAACTAAGACCTCTGATCCTGTAAGACAGAATCCTGGGGGTGGGGGTATCTATGGTGGGCGACCAACTTAACTGTTACCAGCGATACTCTAAATTATTACATTTAACCTCGGTTGCAAGTGGTTTATTAATCTGGCCATAGAAGTATTGGTTATGAGGCTCTATCATTGAAAAAATTTTCCAGTCGCATCAGCATGTGAAATGTGCGGTGATCTCTCACAAACATGATTACAAATGACGTATAATTTTATATGTTGTTTTTGCTAAATCAAAATATAGACCGAAATATCCATTCTTACACTCCTGTTATGGTAAGGTATGTCCTTCTGGAAGTGTCTGCCCGTGGAACAGATTTTTTTAAAGGAAATTGAAATATCTTGGTACTTTTCATATCGTAAATACTATCGTATTTCCCAGGTTATTCGTAGTCTGCATACCGTTCATCTCTGTTGCAAAATTTTCCGACAGAATCTGAATTGTAGTGGTGGCACGCTGAAGGGTGGCTCCGGCTTCGCCAGCCATCTGCGCCCTCTTCCGCCCCCGACTTTCTTGCCTTTGTCTGGACAACAGGGGCGGGAAGAGGGAGTGAGGTAGATGCAACGTAAGCTTTCCCCTTATATAATCCAGTGCAAGTTACTGATCCTGCATCACCCTGCTGTTCACCACAAGGAGGTTTTCGTAGTAAACGATGAACGAAATATCGGTACATGCTAACCCAGCCTATGTTACCCTTACTAGCCAGAATACCATTGGTATACGGCAATGGATATTCTCGGAGGTAAAATTGGGGTAAACACGAAAATAGACTCCAGTCCCACATAGCCTGGAGTCCTCTGATTGTAACTAATAAACCGTGGTTCGTCGCGCAGTCGTGGGACAATTAAGATGAAGGCCTCTGATGCGAGCTCACAACGTCGACAGTTTGGCCATACAATTCAACTGCTATTTCCTTTCCGTATAGGGGTAAAAATATAGTATAGGGATCAACACGCCCTTGATACCTTACATAACTACCTACTTATTTTTTAATAGCAAGCATGTTTAATTTTACTGCTGACTGCTTACCGTGAGCTGACAGTTTGCGAGTGCTCGAACTACGACATGCAAAACAGAGGGATAAGACTGCTGTCTGCTTCCGCTTTCAGTGCTGCTTTAATTAGTAGCGCGTAAAGCCAGCGACAAGAGGACACGGGTTTGTGCCCGGCACCTTTCCAGATAGAAGATAGATAAAATTCAGAAAAATGTCAAGCTCGGAATGGACAGCCCAATGGCAGCAGAACGTATGGTAAGGATGACTTGTATGGCTGCCTTAACACGGGGACAGGAACCACCGGGCCTACTTCACTGTCTTAACCCTAAAAAGGACAATGTATGCCTATATTATTACTTATTTTTGCATTTTATTTGAGCACGTTGTCATAATTTAATTTTAATTTATTTTAATTTAATTTTAATACTTGTTAAGTTAGTGTGTTCTTGGCGTTGACAAATATAAATTGCAATTAAACTAACCTGTATTATTAATCATTAACCTTAGCCCTAACCTAAACTTCACAGTTAACACGAACCCATGAACCTAACTCAAACTCCGGCCTTAACTTCAACCTTAATCCGAAACATAAGTTCCTCGGAACTTGGCGCAAAGTCGCATATATTGCGGGAAACTCCTGTTCCAGTGCGCTGTTTAGGCGGCCATACACAAGTCATCTTGATCACAAAGGAGTGTTCACTGATCAGTTCATGGAGCACGCTCGTCCATCAAAGGCAGCAGCATGGTGACCAGTGCCGATGCAGGCTCACAAACCAGAAATAGCTATCCTAGTCTCTTGTCAGTTGTCGATATGCCTGAATATATACATGCCTGAACATGAAAATGTTAACCCCGAGCGCTGACATGACAGTTCGGTCGTCGATTCCGACGATGTCCACTGTATGCTCCACGACGGGGTGGTGCAGGGACAGTGACTTGCGCGTAAATTAATCATAAGTGATAGTAGACTTACCTCGCATTTACAGCACACCTCCCTCAA